AGTACATATTGTATGATTTTCATTTGTGTAAAATTCCAGAACATGCAAACTTATCTTTTTCCTCTTTTTCCATCCCCCCATCTCTGAAGCAAACCTATCTATTGTGACAGAAAACAGATCAGTGGTTGCCTGGGGACAAGGTAAGTAGAGGGAGGAATTACCAAGAGGCACAAGGAAAGTTTTGGGGATGACAGATACATTCACTAACTTGGCTGCAGTGATAGTCTCACAAGAGGATATATATGTCAAAACTGTACACTTGGCCAGGCGCAGTGACTCACATCTATAATCCTAGCACTTTGGGAGGCTGAGGTGGGTAGATTACCTGAGGTCAGGAGTTTGAGACCAACCTGACCAACATGGTAAAACCCTGTTTCTGCTAAAAATACAAAATTAGCCAGGCATGGTGATGCATGCCTATAATCCCAGCTGCTTGGAAGGCTGAGGCAGGAGAATCACTTGAACCCAGGAGATGGAGGTTGCAGTGAGGGGAGATCGCATCATTGCAGTCCAGGCTGGGCAACAAGAGCGAAACAACATCTCAAAAAAAAATAAAAAAAAGAACAAAACAAATAAAAAACTGTACACTTTAAACATGTGTAGTTTATTGTATGTCAATTATACCTAGTAAAAAATGACTGGCTTGAAAACAAGTAGGCAAGCAATTAATATTTGCTGAATGAATGAACAAATGATCAGTGCATTCAGGAACCAAGACAGCCCTAGAAAGAAAGGTCAGAATCAGATCTGGACGGTCTGAACACAAGGCTAACATTCTTGGACTTTATTCTTTATGTAATAAATTTCTGAGGCTTCTGGGAAAAAAAAGACACCAGTGAAAAATATTAATATAGCAGCAGGACAGAAAATGGACTGGAGATAAGAAAAGACTCAAACCTGAGAGATCAGATAGAAAGTAATTAAATAATCTAAGCATGAGGTAACCAATGTTCATACTTCTCTATTAGCACGCTAATGATAAAAATAGAAAGGTAAGACAAATATAAGTGAAACCGGGAGATAATAACTAATTGCACTTAAAAATCATTGGTATAGGCCAGGCGCGGTGGCTCATGCCAGTAATTCCAGCACTTTGGGAGGCCAAGGAGGGCAGATCAGTTGAGGTCAGGAGTTCAAGACCAGCCTGGGCAACACAGTGAAACCCCATCTCTACAAAAAAAAAAAAAATTATATATACACACACACACACACACACACACACACACACACACACAAACAGCTGGGCATGGTGGAGTGCGCCTATACTCCCAGCAACTCGAGAGTCTGAGGCAGGAGAATCGCTTGAACCTGGGAGGCAGAGGTTGCAATAAAAATAGAAAATAAAAAAATCACTGGTATAAAGTTTCCAGTTTGACTGGCAGAACAGAACAAAAAGTATGAACTTAGAGTTGGTTTGAGAAAATAACACGAATAATTTGATCTTCAACAAAGTTTAAGATGCTAGAAGGACAACAAGACAAGACATCCACAAGTTACTGCTGAAGGAATAGATTTAGGAGCCATGCAGAGAGATGATAGCTAAAGCTGCTAAAGTAAATCAAATTTCCCAAAGTAGATGAACACTCCCAGAAACCTCAGAGTAGAGAACGAAGCAACAAGATCTTAAGAAATTAAGAAATAAATGCATTTAAGGGGCAGGAGGAAGAAGATGTAACAATGAAAAAATATAGAATCAATGAGGCATAAGGTAACAACCAAATACCATAAGCATATGGGACCTTCATCAAAAAAATCAGCCCAGATCCAGATTCTACCACTTAATTAACTATAGTAATGGAGGCCAATTACTTAATTTCTCTACCATCAGTTTCACTGTTTATTAAAACATAGGTAAGTGTTAATGTGTATTAGTTGCTATTTTAACAACTAAATACCTTACAAATAAGTAGATACAGTATTTTATAATTTCTTAATTACTTCTTAGCTTATCTCATTTAATGCCACAACCACCCTGTAAAGCAAATCCTATCTGAATTCTACAGCTGAGGAAAGAAGGCCAAGAAAGATTGAATCTCTTAGTTTTAGGAGTATGAGAACCAACATCATATTTAACTTGGTCTTCTGCACATGGTGCAGTGACAAAGAAAAGGCTATAGAGTTCTTGAACTTAATGGGTTCAAATCCAGTACCATCAATTGTGAGCTGTGTGACTAGAAAAAAATAATTTAAGTGTTACCAATACTACTCTTGACAAAGGCGTATTTATCTTCCTTAGGCAAGAATAAGGAAACAGAAATTTTCTTTTCTTTTTTTTTTTTTTGAGATGAAGTCTCGCTCTGTCGCCAGGTTGGAGTGCAGTGGCCCACTGCAACCTCTGCCTCCCAGGTTCAAGTGATTCCCCTGTCTCAGCCTCTTGAGTAGCTGGGACTACAGGCACATGCCACCATGCCCGGCTAATTTTTGTATTTTTAGTAGAGACAGGGTTTCACCATATTGATCAGGCTGGTCTCGAACTCCTGACCTCAGGTGATCCACCCACCTCACCCTCCCAAAATTCTGGGATTACAGGCGTGAGCTACCGTGCCCAGCCGAAACAGGAAGTTTGAGGTGAAGAGCATGTGACCTCTTTGATTTTCTCAGGAAAATAAATAATTGAAGAGGAATGTGAACAAGGCAGTTTTCAACTATGCTCTGTAGATGTGCTATTGGACACTGGCACACACAACCAAACTTCCTCATAATGTTTTCTTGGTTTTTTGAGACACAGTCTCGCTCTGTCGCCCAGGCTGGAGTGCACTGACGTGATCTCGGCTCACTGCAACCTCTGCCTCCTGGGTTCAAGCAATTCTCCTGCCTCAGCCTCCTCAGTAGCTGGGATTACAGGCACACACCACCACACTCAGCTAATTTTTGTATTTTTAGTAGAGACGGGGTTTCACCATGTTGGTCAGGCTGGTCTCAAACTCCTGACCCCATGATCCGCCCGCCTCGCCCTCCTAAAGTGCTGAGATTACAGGCCTGGGCCACCGCTCCCAGCCAACATTCAAATTTTGTTTTTTGTTTTGTTTTTTGAGATGGAGTCTCACTTTGTCACCAGGCTAGAGTGCAGTGGCGCTATCTCGGCTCACTGCAACCTCTGCCCTCCCAGGTTCAAGTGATTCTCCTGCCTCAGCCCCCTGTGTAGCTGGGACACAGGCGCATGCCACCACGCCCAGCTAATTTTTGTATTTTTAGTAGAGACAGGGTTTCACCATGTTGGCCAGGATGGTCTCGATCTCTTGACCTTGTCATCCACCCATCTCAGCCTCCCAAAGTGCCAACACTCAAGTTTTAAAGCCCCTAGATTATATTTATCTCTAGAGTGTCTTGCAACTATTTAAGATTAAACACTTTTTCTCCATCTTACTCACCAAACGCATATAAACTAGTCCTCTTCTGAGCCCCACAGCACTTCTTTAGTGTCTCTTTATGATACCACACATTCTTCAATATAAACATTCTAAACTCCATTCCCTCAATTAGATTTAGGATCCTTCAAGGCAGGCAATTTGTCATTTACCTTAGTATTCCTCAACCCCAAGCACAATGCAAGCAAGCACTTTAGGGCAAAAAAATGTAAAATAAAAAGATAAGGGAAATGGTTAATCCTTACAATATATACTATATATACTAGCTACATGTAAAAAGAAATACAACTTACCCTAATACAGCTGAAACAACACAGCTTGGAGCAATGAGGACACAGGCGTGCATCCCGCAATTTCTCCATACAAATGAAACATCGGAAAACCTCAGCAATGCTCTGAAAACAATAGAAGATGTAAGATCCACCAGTTTAGGCTACTGAATCAAGAGTAAAAGGCAAGCTCAAAACAACTCAACATTTACATTTATTTTGGGCTGATATCTCTATTTTAACTATATTCCATATCAGGATTTGGTTGGTCAAGGTCCAGAGTACCTTAAAATATCTGGAAAATGTACTTCCATTTTTCTAAGCTTCATGATGATTCTATTCTAAGGAAAATATAGGAAATGCAAACACAGACTTATGTAGAAAAATTTTCACTGAAGCAGTAATTATAAGGGCAAGAATCTAGGTACAGCCCGAATGTCCGAATATTAAGTAAATTACGGCAGTTACACAAAGATTAGTCACTAGAAATAGTTCTTCATCTAATGATAACAGAAAAATGCATATAATGTACAACAGCAAGGAAAAAAGGCCCAGGCACAATGGTTCATGACTGTAATCCCAGCACTTTGGAAGGCCGAGGCAGGTGGATCACTTGAGGTCGGGAGTTCGAGACCAGCCTGGCCAAAATGGTGAAATCCCGTCTCTACTGAAAATACAAAAATTAGCCAGGCGTGGTGGTGTGCGCCTGTAATCCCAGCTACTCAGGAGGCTGAG